ATAGGAAAACAAACTCTCGAAAGAAGCTTTCAATGTTTCATTTGCGTTATTCTTCACTTCAAATGTTTTCGGCGAAAGTCAAGCGGCGTAGATACCTGTTCTTGTTTCCAACTTACTGCATAAGGTTTGTTTTACGATTGCACGCTGTTCTCTTTCACCTTGTGTATTTTTTACTTTCACATTTAGTTGGAATTTTCTAAACATGTGCGCTGTCATTTGCTTTTGTTTTGGGCTTCTCGGTAACAATGTAGCATCAAAACAATTTATAATTTGTTCTGTAAAATGGTAAATGAAAATTTTCTCGAAACTTTTTTTTCATGCATATAACTGGACTATTTTCAGGAAAAAAGACTATAGAATATCAGTTAGGTTTTGAAATCGTTTTTAGGTCTCGAACATATTAGATGCATTGTATTGGTTTTCAGCAAAGTTATGTATAGAGTATTCACTCAGATATCAGATCATAGATAGAAAAAAAGCATATGATTACAATCAACAGCTTCAAAATCATAGAAAAATATACTAAGCCTTCTGCACCTCTAATAATCAGTTGATCCATCTTTTATATGTTATTTTTCTCTTTACTCTTACTATTGTGCATTATGTCATAATCGAGTGACTTTCGCCGAAAATTTCTTACTTTTCTAGAAATTTGAGTTTATTTTTGGAAAACTATTTGATATCCAAATATTGATCTAACCTTGTAGAAAGTTGCAAAGAGTATTATTTACTCCATGAGGATAGAGTATCTGATATGATGAAACTTTCACTATAAATAGAACACCTAGAATAAGGAATTACGTGTCCAGCGGAAACGAATATAGGCAAGATTACGAATGTTATCGATCAGGCTATAACTTTTACTCCAACTATTTCGAAGCTCGAGCATTATGAAAAACAGGCTAGTTTAGTTTTTTATCTTCGTATCTATATTTATATGATTTTCAATGAGATATACGTTTAACACCTATGAATCTTTGCTTAAGTCTCCCGTGAAATTCAAAAAAAAAATGCTGAAATTCTCTTGAAGACTTTTTCTCGATCACATATCTACTTTTTTCCCATGTTTGATGTACTTGAAAAAACTCAGCCTGAGTCATTGTACGCTCTATCACAATCAGAAATGACTAAGAATGAGCAGATAGTTTTAAAAATCTCACACAGATATCCATACTGTGACGACAACAATCAACTATCAATATTTTGTTTCTCCTATTGATACATATTTCGACATGTAAAACATAAACAGACATACGATTTGACGAGTACGATATCCACTTGTATTGATAATGAATTTTATCTTATAATTGTAAATACAGTTTGTTTCTATTTCAGGCTTTCATCTTTTGGTATGCTTGTTTTCAAACATGTTTCATTTTAGGATATTCAAAATAAATCGAACAATGAATACTATTGCCATGAAGTGACTGGATCAAATTTATAGAAAAAAAGATGATAAATAAGTCATATATCAAGAATTTGCAAATAGAACCTTATTGTTTCTTCATCCGCGACTTCTATGAAATTCTAACAGAATTTTTCTGTGAATTTCGTTTAACAATTGGATTATGAAAGATATAACAGAAACTATCAATGATATTTTTACTTTTTAATTCAAAGAAAAATATTTGATAATGTCATCATTGAGGATGCTATACAAATTGACGCTGAATAAAGTTATACCTACTAAAGAACTGCAATAATGATAATAACATCAACAAAAAACTCAAATCTTCTTCTGATATTATAGTGGCATATGATTATAAATTTATTAAGATATGTTCATTTGTCACTCTATTCAATCTCGACTTGAAATTATTTGATTGTTATCAAAACAATATTCCATATCATGTGGAGAAAACTGTAAGTTCGTTTCTATTTATTTAGTTGTTGATTTAGTAAAATAGAGAAAGACAGGAAAGAGAAAAGCTATTGACTTTAAACGATGAAGAAAACATACTCCCAAACAACACTACGGATACTTTGTATATCATTAAGTCATATTAGTCATTCTTCTGTTTCTCACTACGAGTGCATCTGAGTGTGAATTATAATCGAAAGTAGAGACATGCCATATGAAAGTTACAGACATTTAATTGAAATTTCCGTCTGTAAGATGTTATATACTAATAAAATGCTTGAGCATGCACAGAACTAAAAATTTTAACTATATATAAACTTATTTATGAGTAAAATATACTGAGAATTTCTTACTTAAGATAATAATTTTCCAAAAACACAAGACATATCTTAATTTTTTTAGTAGGTATGAATATTTTTTACTAATCCAATATATGACGAACGAACTAAAATTTTGAGAACACGCTAACAATAACTAAATCTATCTGTGAACAAGTTTTCAGCTCAAACAATCGTTATTGTTAGCGTCAACAGATACTACATAGTTGCCGCTAACCGTTCTCATTTCTTTTCGTTCTCCTTTACGTAACCTATGTGAGGCTCGATATTTCCTGGGCATATACATATATGTTCATATTATTATTATTATTATATTTCGTTCTTTTTTTCTTCTCTTTGTCTCTCTCTCTCCCTCGTTCAGTTATATGAACAAGTATGCCCCAGCAGTCAGTTGTGTATTTTGTGTTATCTTGGTGACACGTTTTCCTTGAATAAAAGTCATATTCATCATCTGAACTTATATCATCTTCCGTATTACATCAACCTACAAGACAAGGTAGGACTACTAAACCAGCTATTACAGATCATAGTTTTCTATTGATTCCTTCCGACCTAATAACATTTAGTGGGTAGGAGATTTGGATGAAAGAGAAAGCTAACAGTTATCCAATTTTTTTTATTGATATCTTCCTTTGGGCTAAAATTCCATTCAAATGGCTAAGACTCTGTTGGATATGCTGAAGAGCACTTGTTCTTATGGAATCTTTATATCTTACTCAGATCTACCTTGTTCACAACGTCTGAACTTAGAAACAATTCTTTTTTCAACTTTTATGTATCTTTGAGCTCTATTATCAGAAAAATGACTTCCCTCAGAATTCTCATCGGAAACCTCAAAATATTCGTAATATAACTGAGTTCTCTCACTTTCTCTGATGCCATTAAGGATATGAATACATCGCATCGTTTTATGCTTAACAAAATATATTCAGTTGGTCGATCGAGAATTCAAAAAATAATTTTTTTCTTTATTTTTATATAATTGTCATATTTTTTCTCCTGCTAAATTCCTTCATCATTTTCTTCTGTCGAACAAATCAATGCAATCTTTTCTATCCTTTCAAGAGACACCCCATTGCAGTCAATCAACCTGCAGCCAACAACAATAACCACTGCACAAAGATACTCTGCTGTGCTAAGTTCAATGGTGATACTGAAGTATGTAGGTTCGCATGAATCTAACACTTATATTTCGATGTCATCGAATTGTCAGCTCTTTCATTTCCTCAGAAGACTAACTGTAGAATTTCATAAATACTGAGAATATGGCATTAGATCATTTTGTGTCTATCTTTAGATATCATCAATGGAGCTATTATCACTAGTTAATCTGTTCTAGTCTCTTTTGGATCACAAACATAGAGCAATAATTGATACCAAAGATCTCTGGAAAAGCCGTATCACTTTCGATCAGAACAAGCTAGAAACAGTAGTGATTTGTGTATAATTTTTGAAAAATCATTATCATAAACTCACTTGATTCGTCAATTTATAGCCAATCAAATTTTTATGCCTCAAAGTGTTTTTTCTTGAACCGTAAAACTATTTGCGTACAGTACTTTTTTCAAAAAAAATTAAGCTACCAGCTATTTTAGCACTGACAACAGTTTCATTTTTGGTTTCTTCTCAAAGACTATTGGAGCCATCTTGTTTCTCAACTATACAAAATAAAATAATATATTTTTGTTGGCAAATAGTGTCTCACGAAACAGAACAGAATAATTTTGTTAAGGCGAGCTAGAGGCATTAGTATGAGTCACTCCACCTTCAAATTTATTTTCGCGAATATCAACTAACTACTACCAGTCATTTATTTTAATACAAAAAATAGCAATAGCTACACGTCTGTGAAATCAGTTTCGAAGCACCTTTTGTGAAACTAGGACCTGACAGAAAGATTGCTTCTCTATCTCAATCTTTTCGTAATATGGTTACTAAGTGGGATTTTTCAGGACAATCCCCAAAGCCCCAATACCAAGTTAATTACATTGTATGAGATGATCAGGATTGTTCGGAAAATACTTTGAGCTGAAAAGAAGGGGATTCTGAGTACTTAAAAGTTCGTTCAGCATTACTCTGCTGGGAAGTTGCTCTTATATTACGAAGAAAATGGTAATCCATTGGTTGCCAGTCAACGATAGGTATCTTTTTCAAGAACAGTTTTCTATTAAGTGCGATTAAAGATCTTCTGCATTGAGCAATCGAAATTTCTGCTATCGATTTCTACAAAGTCATTTCTTTCATTTCTCAATAGAAAAAGTGATAACGAAACTGGTTCATATGAGTAACTTTCCTTTTCTATCTCATACTTTATATAAAAAATTTATGATTCACTTATTGCGTCTACTATTTTATACTGCAGGTGCAAGTAAACGTGAAATACAAGAAAACAAGCCAGATTCAAACAATTGACTTACAAGAAGTTTGTCAACTATTATGTTTTTCTACTGCTCTAAATTTATGTATTAGAATTGCGAACGGATGGTTGGTTTTGACGCAAAAAATAAGCGTGTTCTTGACACAAAGTTTATTTGTTCTGTTTGTTCGTTTATATTAAAAGATCCAATGCAACTAACTTGTTGTGGTCATCGAATATGTCAAACTTGTTTGCAGCGGCAACATGAGTAAGTTGTATTATTTATTTGATTGAATATTCTCTATTATTATTTTAAGAATGAGCATGATATGTCTACAATGTTCAACAGAGACATTTCGAAGCCAAGTGAAATACTCATTTTTATTTCAGCTGAAATTAAATGTTAATTTTTCAGGTGATGATAGATCAAGGTTTCAAAAATGATATGCAATCACTACCAATCGAATGTTCTTTTTGTAATTGGATTGGTTTTCTTAAAGATTATCAAGTAAAATATTTCCTATTCATATTATTTTCTAAATATTTGATTCCTTTTTTTTTTCTAAAGGAACATCTCGATCAACATCATCCAAATCCAATATGCGAAAATTGTAATCAACAATATGCCTCAGTTGAAAAATTGAAAGAACATAAAATATCGACATGTGAAAACATCTTTGGAAACTGTCTCTTAAAAGATTTTGGTTGTCATGAACAAGTATAGTTATTAAATATTTAGTCAAAATTGATTCATCTGATTCTGTTTTGTTTAGATTCATCGTCATAATATATTGATCCATTATTCAAGTGAAAAACATCAAAATACATTAATGAATGTTCTTTATCGAATGAAATTTCAAATGGAAAACGAGAGAAACTTATTGACTCAAATGAACAATGATTCACTGCGGTCAACATCAGTAGTACCTGTTGATATCAATACAGTTCTTTTTCACGAGTTATGTGAAATACTCGAAATGTCACCGAATAAATTAAATATATCGAGCATTAATCGACAAGAGCAGCTTAATAATGCATTACTTCAATGTCAAATAAAATGTCCAACATTGACACTTAATTTTTTAGAATCAAAAATATCGTTACAAGAAATCAATGAAAGTTTGCATGAAGAAACAGCCAATAATATTAGTGTTCACAACGATTTAACAGAATTGAAGAAAACAGCTGAAAACTCGCAATATGTGTCATATGATGGAACATTTATTTGGAAAATTACAAATGTTCAAGAAAAAATGAGTAAATAGAATAATAACTTACTGTACAACTTCGAAGTAGAATATCAGTAAAAGTCATGAGAACGGCGTGAAATCATGTTATAAGACATAAACAAATATGTTCGACTAAAGAAATGCTAAATTTTTGAAAATCATATGAGCAGTCAGTTATTGAAGGATACGATGCCTAAAAAGCGGTTGATATCAAATAACATGAAAATCAATTGTATTCTTTCGACTATTTGTTTTTTTTTGTCTTCAATGACTAGTTGATGCTCAGTCTGAACGACAAACATCAATTTATTCACCTCCATTTTATTCCTCATCTAATGGCTACAAAATGCGTGCTCGTCTATATTTGAATGGTGATGGAAAAGCTCGTCGTACACATATGTCACTCTTTTTTGTTCTTATGCGAAGTCCGAACGATCCGATTCTTCCATTTCCATTCAAGTATAAAGTCACATTTTGCTTGTATGATCAAACGTCTACGTCTGGACATATAATTGATTCATTTCGACCAGACATTCGCTCAAGTAGTTTTCAACGTCCACGATCAGAAATGAATATTGCAAGTGGTATACCAAAATTTCTTCCATTGAAAATGATTCAACAAGAAGGAAATCCTTATGTTCGAGATGATACAATGTTCATTAAAATTATGGTTGACTTTGAAGATATGCACAGTACATTATTGCCCTATGCTTTGAGTCTCAATCCGGGTCTACCAACTCATGTTCAACAAGCGATGATTAATCAAGAAGCTGAACGTAGATCTCAACAATGATGTGAGGAGTCGACTGAAAAAAAGAAATAAAACTAATGCGAAAAGATGTTTTCTTAAAGAACATGCATTTTCAAAGACTCGATGCTTTTCTTTAAATTTTACTTATTTATTCATTTTTTTTTCGTATTACACTAACGTAATTTCTACTTTTAATGATAACACAAAGAAATTTTTTTCTTATATTTTGAACGAAATCTTAATTTGCAACAAAAAGAAGATTTCATGATTGATTAAAACTTGTACATTTTAGGTTGTCAAACAAGCACGTTTTTCTGAATTTTTCTTTACAGGCAAATCAATTTCATTATGAACATGAAAAGCAGATTAGGATCTACCAGTTCTGGTTTCTTCTCAGAAGGAGATTCTAATATTTATCTTATCAATGTCAAAGCAGAGACACTTCATCACTAGCATTATGCTAGCAAATTATGGTGATCTACTTTGATCTAACTGATAATAACAAATAAATGAGTTTAAAATAAATGCATGGAAGAACTAAATGAAAACAGGAAGCCAGTTTTGTTTTGATCTTCCAAGCGACTATGTGCAGAATATTATGTGGTTGACTCGAAAGAGGACAACTTATGACCTTTGTAATCTTGAGAATTCAACATTGAAGTGTAAATAAAATGATTTTATGCCATTTAAAAAAAAACAAGTTATGCAATACAAGTACTATAGGCTCGCAAAGTTAAAGAAACATAAAAATAACAGTCTTATAAAGAGTAGAACCAAAGTTTCTGAGGAAATTTTTTCTTTAATTATCGATGAAGTCAGAGGCAGAAAAAAATTTAGAATATTGAATTAGTATGAGAATGCTATACACATTTCGATTGTGAATTCGAAATTCTTCTGAGACTTATGGGTCGAAAGTTACGAGTGGACTTTTGATTGAGTTGAAGATAATGTTTCATTAGATTTCAGTATCTGGATTGAAGTTCAGAATAGATGAAATCTCATGATTTAGTCAGCATGAATTTCTAAATATTAATGAAAGTCAGAATGGAGGCTTCAAGTACGATTGATGTGAATAGGGTCCTCATGCTGTAGTCAAACTGGCAATCAAGTGTATTCAGGCGTAAATAAAGAAAGATAATATTTCATTAGCATAACAATTAGACCTACTATTCTAGTCTTGCAGCTTATAAACGACTGTTGAATTGAAGTTTCTAACCTGAATGACAGTTAGTCAAGTATTTTTTTATGTAGAAATCGGTTCTGATTGTAAGTGCTGTTATAGCTTTAAATTACTTTAGTAAATTGTTGAAACTGGAGTTGTCATTTTGTTTCTAATAATCAACTCTAAAATCACATAGTTTAAGTTGAGGATAATCACTTATTTCATACTCCACTTTTCAATGAATCATACAAATCTTATCGTATACAGATTTGCTAATGTATTGTCACTCGCTATTTTATAATGAACAAAAATTGAATATATTAATGATATCTACCTTTTTCAAGAATAGTTTACAGTGCACTTGCAATTCCAAAGTTTCAATTTGATATCTAACTGCAGGAGCACAAAATGACTCAGAAAGTCAAAAATATTCTAGCTGGAAGATTATTTCTTTTAAACTCATTTGCTTTTGTTTGCAACTTTAAGGTAGCTCTTAATGAAGCTGATTGTATGAATCAACAAACAACAATAAGAAGTAAATGTTGTTTACTAGTATTGATCATGTATTCTTTTATTTATTTTTTTATTCGTTTTGTATGATCCTTTTGTAATGGTATATACATTTTTAATGTCATAGAACAATGTTGATGAAATTAGCACTGATTTACAACCATAATTAATTGTTTAAATGAAATTTTATGTTTTGATTTTCTAATTCATGAAGGAATTTCGAATTTTATTATCGTAATTGAGAATAACCAAATAAATATATGATCGAGAGTAGTGCGAGGAAATAAGAACTATATATGACGTATATTGTGCAATTGTTTCCAATAATATACTCAAAACAAAAGTGAATATGTCTATTATGTCGTCATAAACTCAAATGCTTGTAGGTCAAGCCAAGATAAAAAAATATGTCCTGTATATTGACAGCCCTAGTTTCGGAATTGCAACTTGTTCTTCATCTTTCCAATATAATACAACTATATTTTTAATTTTACATATGAGACGAAGGCAAGATTTCCTTTTTGTTCGACTCCAACTAGGCGGAACACGTCCATTGACAATTATTTTACAAGTTTCAGCTCATGTCACTCTGTGCTATCATTCTTTTCTAAAAATGAACTCATTTAATAGGTGATTAATGCATTATATGTATTGTTACACCGTAGTATTTTGAAAATCACATAAAGAAAACAGCCTTTAGCGTTATGAAACAGGCATAAAAACTATTACCATTGAATTGTATTGATAAACACGTAATCAATAACATTAAAATAAATCATTTTTTACATAGACTTTGCCATTTTAATGCATTGGAAATTCAAGAAAAACACGAATAGTTATCAGAAGAGACATGTGAATAAGTAACGACATTATGTAAGTACTTTTTTTCTTTTATGCTGTAGCACCATGCAAAAATTTCCAATTTTATGATCATGACATCATTTTTACCAACTACAATAATAAATGACATCTAAGAAAGTTTTTACCAAGAAAAAAATTATAAGTGTGCTGTTTCTCTACATATAGGATGTAGATTGATCGTAAATGCTTCAGTAATACTCTTTCATTGCCCGCAGATCCAACTGGAATGGTATATAAATCGATACAGCATAGATGTGAAAACTGAATAAATTCACATCTCGTAAAAACTTTTCATCTAAGAATGCGACTTTAAGTTCACATGGCAAAGGTAACTATTTAAATATCGATAGTGAAAATATCAAAGGAGAAAGTATAATTTGTACATTTTGATCTATTCCAAAACTTTCTTAGTTATTTCCAATTTTACAAATTGCTGTATTTTAATGGTGCAGCTGGTTCTTCTCTTCACCGTATAATTCTTCAACTAAGCCGATCTAGATAGATTTTGAACTAGTTTAACACGTATTGCAGGATTAAGAATATCCGATAGTTTGAAAATCACTAAACCTTTCCCATTGAACAGCACGCAGCACACAAATGAAGACTTATTAGATATTAATACAAAAGTGAAAAACTCCATCGAACATCAAGAGCATGAATCTTGCAGATAGAGGAAACGAGTTCGACCCTTCCAATCCCCCCAAAAAATGCGCACTCTTCGCTTCTCTGCTCCTAGCCAGTCCACTTTATCAACGTTTTTCTGATCGATCTCCTTGCTCATCGATCCTCTCCCAGTCGTGAAGGTCTTGGGATTCTCCTGTTTCAAACATATTTTATTCAGTCATTATGGTGACTTTTCTACACTGTTCACTAGCTTCGTAGATAAAAATATTATACATATTTTGTATTGATAAGAGTGCATAGAATGTCGTTGATTTAATGTCCAGTATATTTTATGAGAAAAGAATTATTCGTGATATTTTTTCAATATTGAAATGTCACTATTTTGATAGAAGAAAATGGCTGTTAATAGCTAGAGTAGCAAATGTTGTATTACTTCAGATCTTTTTCTCATATTATACACCGTAATCAGAATAACAAATTTTAAGTCGCTTTAAAGAGTAAATATCAATCGTTATTCTTAACAAGGATTTTTAAATTATCAATGTTTATTAAAAGAGTGAAACAGCAGATTTTGAAATAGAACTGGTTCAAATTGATCAGACTTGGCATTGGTTACGAGTACAAAGTTATTGTTAGATAGACAATTATTTTATCAGTTACTCAGCAAACGAGTAATATCGAAATTCTGCATTTCATTCTTTCGTCAAGAGCAAAGTTTTCTTTTTTTTGAAAAACGATTTTTTTAAAGTTTAATCCAAGATTTTCAAGGTTGAGAAATTAAAATCTGAAATAAATGTCGCAAAATGATGTACTAGATTTTTCATTAAAGAATACACAATTCAATTTTAAGAAACTAACTAAAAACTCGAATTCTTCTACCCCGAAAACTTTCGGCTAGATTTTTATAAAATAACGTTATCATTGTAAAAAGCCTTTTCTTCAATGAAAAAATCACGCACATAATTTTGAAAAAACTGGTTACGGCTGTGGATTCCTCCACCCTGAAAAATCTTCGCTTAAGCTGTGTACAAAGCTTTTATTTATCCAAAAAACATTTTTTCCTAACGAAAGAATCACATGCAGAATTTTGCTGTTACTCGTTTAGCGAGTCACTAGTAAAATAACTGCTTGTGTAACAGTAAGCTCCTATCGGTAATTGACTCCAATTGCGGAGCAGCTCGAGTCGATTTCAGTTTTATTTTAACTGACGTCATTGAAGTTCTAAACTGATTTCAACTCCAACTCCAACCAGTTTCAGCTATTGGAATGGCTCGAAATGAGTTTTTTCACTTGGAAAACACTTAGTGGAACTTTATACATCATTCCGTATTTTTGAATCAATTCTTGTACTTTGTAATGATACCCGAATAATGAACAGCAGTGAGAAAAAATGTGGCGAAATGATTCATCTCTATAATTCCTACCTTGTCTGTATTTATGTTGCTTCAGTAATAAGTAAATGTTTATTTTCATGTTTGAAAGAAGTAGATGAAAAACGTAGGTAATTTGATGTCGCTAGATTTGAGATAAATAATGCAATAATAAATAGACTCTCTTAATGAAAATTATTTATCCGTACAAAATTTCCCACAATTATGAATATTTGAATAACTATTCATCCTATCGAACAATTATTTCGGATGTAATCTATGAAAAAAGGATATTGTCGTAATGGTTGAGAGATTAAAACATGAGGTATGATGTCATTACTGTCTGCTCACAGGAAAAATGTTTTATCTTTCTTAACTTGAGACAATACCTTCACTATCATTTTACTAAACCCTCCGTCAGTATAATAAGTATTATAACAAGACGCCATAAAATATAAAATCTCTGATCATATATAAACAGCGTTCGTCATCATCCATGCTACGAGAACCGGATG